TCCCTTTAATTACGAGATATCGAAGAAAATTTGCGTGTTCTGGTTCGCTATTTTGGTACTGAATTGATTAATCAATTTGTGGATGTGATTTTTTTTTTCTTGATATCATTGGAATTGAATGAATTTGGTAATTTTTTATTGATTAGGGATTTTTAATGGGGTAAATGTCATTTAGATAATGAAACGATCATTGCTGTCTGCGTTGTTGAAGGGTTCAAAGGTGACGGATATGAAATGCCTCAATTAACTAGCATTGCTATTTCATAAAGACATTCCATTCCGCGTGGTGAAACTTTCTGGACGTCCATGTCGTTACTCAACATTGCTAGTATAATTACCTATCACCGAATACCATCTCTCCTTAATTTATCAAAGTACTCGGTGATAATTAAATGAGGGTCGATCTAGACGATCTAGGACGAAACAATTATTGACAATTCGAGAATTCAATTTATCACAGCCATTTTAAAAAATCATTACATACCCCTAAAATATATATACACAATAATTATTGAGAATAAATTAAATATTGCATTTAATTATTTTATAAAATTGAGTCAGACGATAATTGGGGATTAACTCGGGATTAATTCGGGATTAATTAGGGATTTGATGGGGTGGAATTGGAGTTGAAAATTGAAATGAATTTTTTTTTTTTTTTTAATTGAAGAAAAATGTAATGGGTATGACTTGTACTTTACGGGTCAGTCAAAACCACATCATTAGACAGTACATCTCATGCTTTTGCATTTGGCACTGCGGTTTCCTTTGAGGACTGTAACTGAAAGTCGATATACCAGTGGCTGTCCGATGCTCAACTAGCCGGAAATTCAAAATGGTCAGTCAGTTGAGAAGAAGGTACCGGTGTGTTACCGTATGCGGTAGATCGTGAAATATTTCCTTGGGTAAATGTACATTCATTCTGTTTATTTCCGCCTCGAGATTTTCTCAAAGGAGACAATAAATTCAATTCCACTGTTCCAAGAGACTCGTGCGCATTTTCAAAAATATATTTTTATAAAATAATACGCCATTTGATGAGACGAAAAATTTGGGTAATTAGAATAATTATCGGTAATGCTGTTGGTGATATTGGAATTATTGATTATTGTCGTTCGATGTATTAATATCTGGTGGGAGATTACGTT